AAACCTTGCCATGCAAACCCAATACACTGGGGCAAAGGATTTCTGGCTGTGGAAACAAAACATCAGCAGGGTGCTAAGGACTGAGCAAGAGAAATGTGCACTTTGCATGATAAATACTTATGCAGTCATTTCTTGTTGCCTTATAAAGATGTATTACTCAAGGTCTGCCTGCAAAAGTCCATATAAATAAACTTCTTGACATAAATAACCCCATTATAATCAGGAGATTGACATCATTGCAAAATTGCTGCAACTAGAATAAAAATCAAATTCTCTGTATTTTTTTCTGTTTCTGTAAAGGGCATCTCAACTATGATCTTCATGTTCTACAAATACTTATCCTTTTCTTTTCAGATAAGGAGAGTTCTTCTGGATCCATTTCAGAAAACAGCATGACTGACAGAAAGAAAAAAACTGAAGGCTAAGCAAAGACGCTGTGACAGAACTGGGAACAGAAATAGATCTTTTCTGCTTTTTTTTCAGCATCTTTCACCAACACTGTAGGAATCACTGAACTAACATTTCATATGAACTCATGGTTTGCTAGATGAAAGCTCTATAAACAGAATCAAATAATCTTATTATTTTCTTCTGTGTTATATCTCAGGAGGAAATAAAGTTCTTTTATTACCAGGGTGTGTTTTCATTTCTCATAACAGACATTTCACCTCAGATGATCACTTTCATCAGCTGCAGAAAGCAATATTTTAAGTTTTCTGCTTTGTCTGTACCTAATCTCCTAGCACTGAAAGAAAATGTGATTCCAAGAGCATAGGAGCATCTAAGGCCTGATGTGCTTTCCATTGGAGACATTTGGCCAGCATTTTAATATTCAAGATAGGCAATCTCTCACTGAGAGCTCATCTCAGGTTTTACTGATATATATTCCATAAAGTCCCCAGACAAAGACATTGGAATTGTAAACCTTCTTGACACTGCTAAGGCTTTTCAAAACTAGTTGTTATAAGTTTTATAAAATCACTAGAATAAAAACGGTAAAAAAATAAACAATAGTAGGTAGACTGCAAGACCAGAATTCTGTTCTCAAATTACATCGTAGCTTAAATTTATTTTTCCAGAAGACAGATTAAACTCAAGATAGATTAAACTCAGACTGAAAACCTGAATTAAATATAATGGTACAAGAACTTAGAGACAGTATATGTAACTCCCAGAATTAAAATAAATGACAGTAAAGGAAAGTGGTGGGTCCTCCCAAGTGTCAGTGAGGTTAAAGGCCAGCCCTTCCAGCACCTGAGCCTGGCTGGTGGCTCTGGAGCCCAAGGCCAGCAGCACAAAGATGCTAGGCATGCTGACCAGGGAGAAGAAAATGTTCTTGCCAGGTTTGTGGGAAGTCATTTGCCTGTAAAAGTGGAAGGAAAAGTCCATGTTCCTGTGGACTAGCCATTGGCAAGGCCCAAAAGGATCTCCCTCATGGGGATGCTGCTTATGTGGGGCTTAGTTTTCTTATTCTGATTGTGACCACTGGACGGTTGACAGCCAGGGACAACAAGCTCAAGACCAGCAAAGGAGCATTGCATGCAGTCATGGGTAAAGAAAAAGTGAAACCCATTCAAAGTTTCTTCATTTAATTGTAAATAGATTTCATATGTGGGTACCATGCCAGAAATATCTCCTAAATTCATCCATCTGGCACTTTGAGAACTTCTATAGTTATTACTTCAGCAGGTTATAGCAACATTTGTCTTTCTGATTTGTCAGTATAACAATTTCTAAAAATGTTTAGCAATCAAAAAATACGAGTTTCCATTTGGTCTGGCACTGTCTATGAGAAAGAATTGGACACAGGGGATCTGGTTACGTGTCTCTGATTCAGCACTAATTTGGCAGTGGCAGTCAAGGTCTACTTTATTTAACATCACTGTCAGATTTGAGGAGTGAGGAGCTGTGCACTTCATGACCTCCATCTCTGCTTTCCTCTGCACAGCCATTGGAAGGAGAGCTGCACGACATTGGCCTTGGGTGCTGAGCCTTTCTCAACGGGATGATCCAGCTGCCAAGGGAGACTCTCCAGTGGCCTTTTTCTGCCAGGCCATTCCAGTTTTCAGTGTCAGGGCAGCACCTAGCAAGCAGCTTGCACAACTGTCAAAAAATTGTCCCTGAACCAGTGACAGACTTTTTGGTTCATAACAAAACTCTTGGTTTCAATATTTTTAAGGAGGAGGGGGAGGACATGGATGATGACAGTGGCTATGCCTCTATAGTAAGTTGTATCACATTTTAAACTGTACTCATATTGTTACATTTTTAGTACAGTTTCAGATGCAGGTATCACTCACGCCAGCTATGACTCTTCCAAACAAAGTGCTGAGTGTGTTTTTGAAGTTAGCACAGGCCAGGGGATATTTTCAATAAGCAGTACAGATGTCTTACAGTGTCAGAGTTAAGTGACATGGATATGAGCTGTGACAAGCCACTTGACCTCATGGCTAGAGAACAGACCTTGGAGCCCTTTATTTACTAGCATAGATGTAAACTTAGGGGTTATAATTAATCTCAATATTTGTTTTACTCCTTCCAGGTATTCATACCCTGTCCCTTCTAACTTCTAGTTGTTGTTGAAACGCAAGATTAAATCTGTAAAGCAATGTCACTAGCACCTTTTGGGTGTCTAGCCAACTGAAATATTCCCCAGCTCTGATTTAGCCACTGCTTCCACATAGGATGCTTGTGGAGAGTTTGTTACGTTAAAGGGGTACTGAAAGAAGCCAACACAATGTGGGTGGATGCCATCAGCTGTGAATGTTGTAAAGGAGAGTATGGAAAAAGACTTGACCTTCAAAGGAAGTGCCTAAGCCTGGTCTGAATGTGACTGGCTCCCTCAACGTGTGGTTTGAAGCTGTGCCTTCCTTTTCCTAGAAGCCCTATCAATTTCACAAGATACCACTGCTTTCTTCATAATTCACTAACAGGTGTATCTCAGTGGTTACCTTCTATTGGAGGAGGAAGCAAGAACAATGTTTTTAAGAATGACCACACTCTTGCCTCATTTATTTGGAAAAACAGAATTGTTAGTTGTTGGTGCTTTAAGAGCCGAAGCTGCAAGCGGCTTCGGCCTTGAACAATTAAGTCCTGATTTTGAGTGAAGAAGTAGAGTGGAATGGGATTCGTGAGAAAGAATGCAAGAAAAACAAGATAAGAAAACTTCTTATGTAACTAGGCAGAAGTAAAAAGAATGCCTCATGAAGAGGTGGATTTATCCAATCAAGTATTGTAACCAGGCGTGTGAACAGTAGCTTTTAGCCAATGAAGAATTTTTATGTGTGTGTGTGTGTGTGTGTGTGTGTGTGTTAGCAGCTTAAGAGTATATAAGTGATGATGTAAACAATAATAAAGGTCTCCAGTAGAATTCACATTGAATCGTATGTGGAGTCCATGGGTGAGTCCCTCTCAGCAGTTAGTAACTGTTCTGATATAATTTTAATCACATTGAACCATAATTGCATGAAGAATGCAATTCAAATCAATAAGACCAGCCTCTGATCAGTCATTTTTCAGTTGGATTTACAATTTTTCCCATGAAGAGGATGCTCTGAGTATATTGATCAACAACTAACACCAAAAATGGATGGTTGAATTTAACAACAGGAGGAACAGAATGAGGAAGAAAATCTGTGCCAGTGACTGCTGCAACCTCTGTGCCATTCTCATGAATTTTCAGCAGGGCCTTGTGAGCAGCCTAAAATGAAATATAGCAAGAATTAATGTATGTGGAGGATGGGGTGTGAAATGATTAAAATTAGCACTAAGTTAATTCAGCTAGTGCCTTTCACAGAAATTGCTGATAGGCCAGGAACCAGGAAGAAGGCCGTTAAAGCCCATGATGGTTTTTTAAGCAATGTTGTCTCAATAAACAAGTGTTCTCAAATTCAGTGTTCTTCATCATAAGTATATCCATCACAGACCTTAGGAAATGCACACCTTGTGGAATTAATTGAAAGTAGAACATTCAAGCAAATTCACAAGAAATTACAATTTCAGAGGGCAAGGAAGTTTGGGTCCAGAATTGCTCTGCATATATCTCTAATAGCACCTTCATTACACTTCAGCCAGTAGAAATTCAACCTTGATACCAAGTATTTTTTTTTAATTATTGTTGGGCAATTTAAATATATTTGTTTTACTAGCCCCAAAATATTAGTACATTCTAATAGCTGCTTTCAGAATGGCTGTAAATATGCTAGACTTTCTCTTCACTTTCTCTATTTCTCTTGCTATTATTTTCAGGAAATGGGATGTTTTCCTCAAGTCTGGTCCACCTTACATGTTTAGCTCTCATCAGGTCCTTCAATGGCAGCAAATGTTTTAAAATCCTTTAAAATTATGGAATACACATCTTAGAAAAAAGCCACTTTTTCTGCTAGATATGCTGATGCGAGGCATCCCCAACACAGGTCTCCATGGGTACTTCTTTCACATGCAGAAACTGGGCTATGTTTAGTTTCTGGGACAAATACTACTCCCCTCTCAACCTTTGCCTGTCAGATGGAAGACAATACCCTTCTCTCCAGATCTTGGAGAAGTCTGAAAGATTTTGAAGTTACTTTATCAGCTAAGTAACTGCTAGGGCTGGTTGATACTCTGAACTAGAGCAGTAAGAAAAAATCCACAACACAGCTTAGGGGAAGACAACTGGATATTGACAAACTTACTTTTGAAACCTTCAGATCAGACTTCCCTGTGATTCCAGACAGATCAGCCCGGTCAGAAAACTCATCGGTTGCACCCAGATTCATGAACGTCTTCTTTAAGTCATAGGTGCCTGAAATTGATAGTTCTGGAATATACACTTCTATTCTGTTAATTCAAAAGAAAATTATGGCAGTTATTGCAATCAAAGCATGCCTTGGACTGAAGACTCCCACCTTGCTGGTGGTTCTTCTGTGCTAAAATGTTGGTCTTTTCATCTGGAAAAGATGGCAACAAAAAGAAGATGGGAAGACTATGGTCTGGAGGACGGGAAAGTATGGAAGAAGAAAGACGTCAGTTGGGTGTTCTTGTATGATTTTGCCACAGTCATTTTATGGGATAGCAAGCAGCAGTGGTGCCAGAATGTTTGGGACTATGTTTGCATTCACTTTGAATGCAAAAACTCTGAAGGTTTTTCTTTTGGAATTCATACCCTCTTCCCTCTGAGGGATCTGATTGCTACGTTGCAGTATTACTACTCAGCACATTGTGCTTGAGACAAAGGAAATAGAAACACTTAACATCAACTAGAAAATGTGTGGGGAAAAATATTTCCCAGCTTTAAGATCTCTTCCCTCATCACAAGGCAGTGCTGACTCTAATTCTTTCAGAAAGTATCAAATCATTGTTATTTGGTCTGTCCCTTTATATTTATTCCATTGCTTAAATCTCGAATCAATAGCAAAAGCTAGTAACTGTAAAACCTGATCATAGTAGTCAGACTTTGGATTCTGACTACCTTGAACCATCAAATCAGAATTCAATATTTACCGTCTTTCAAGTGATTTTTCCCATTTAGACACAGTGTCTTTTGTCAGAGCATCTTCCAACTGTTTCATTTTTCCTTCATTGGGCAGGATAAACAATGCTGCAACAACCCCCTTGTAAGGAATCTGCACCACCTTGCAAGACAACTTCCTGTCAGAGTATGTTTTATAAAATCCATCTCGAGTCATCATCTTCACTTCAACTGAGATCTTCGCATTCATATGGAAATAATCCTTGTGAGTCCCCTTAATATTGAAAGGGTTTTCCCAATAGGCTTAAAACCAGAAGGGTTAGAATGCAAGTGAATGCTTATTTCAAGGAGGATATATTAATATACTTCAGACTAATGCACACCAGATAAAGACATATCTGAAGATTTACACTCATATTTGAAGATCACAGGTATTGCAAATTTATTAAAGATCTTCTTCCCTGTCATTTTTTTGTTGTACTCTGTTCAGTAACAACTAAACACCAGAGGTTAAACTTAATATGGACTTGTACAACACCTTTCTAAGCAGATGAATGAGGTAACTACATCATGTAACCCTACATTTTATTTGAAGAACATGAAAGCTGACCAGTATCCAACAAGTTACTTTCTGATTTCAGAATATTGCTTGTAAGCAAGTTCCACAGCAGATGTCTGCCTTTTAAAAGGTAGCATGTTAAGCTCCTTCCATGCTTTTTCACATATTCTTTGTCTTGTAGCACTGTGGAAAAGCTTACATGCAAGAACAAGCTGAATTTTTGGGCCTGATCATAACCTCATTACAGTAAATGGAATAGGGCTTCAAGGGCTTTAACCTTCAAAATGGTTTTCTCTTCATGTTTATTCTACTGAATTTTTAATGATATTTTATTTTGTATTAAATCAGGTCATTCACTGAACAAATACACAGCGATCACAGCTTGCCATTCTATATGTTCTCTTTTTATAATATTGAAAAGAAATAAAATAAAATTGAAAAATAAATAATGGAATGTAAACTCCACAGTAATCTGATTACTTTATAAGTTTGAGCTTTCCCCCCTGTCTCTCCCAGTAAAAAAAATAAATGCTCCAATATCATAAAGAAATGCCTCAGACTAGGGCATATGAGACTAGGGTACCCAAATTTAAGAGAATACTTGAAATGAAATAAAATCTGTTTTGCTGAATGCTCACCTATTTCCAAACGTGCCTTTCTAGGTGTATGTCCTGCATGCTGCTTCAAATGGACATAACATCTAAGAGGAAGTTAGTCATTGCCAAAGCAGTCCACTCACAAGCACCTCGGGATACGTACAACATGATGACAAGCAGCAGAATATTTAGACTCTAACTCCAGAAGTACCTACCCATTTAATAGGCATGTAATATAATTCGATTAAAGCGTTCGGCACTTTTTGTTAATCTGCATCTTTTGAATTTATTTTTGTACTTCATGTAGAATGAATGTGAAAACACTGTAAATCAATTTTAAAAATAATAAGTAGGTAAAGTCTGACAGAAAAATTTACAAATGCATGAATCTGTTGTGCTGGGGCGATTCTCTAAAACTTGAAGATTGCAAATAAATGAACTTATATGCTTAGGGACCTAAACATGTGCTAGGAAAATTTAAATGTGGAAGAGGTTTCAAAGCCTGAGAACTTTCAATGTTTCTTATCATAGTAGCCTAATCTTAACACTGGTCTTTCTTTAAAAGTAATTCAGAAATAATCAGGGGTATTTGTTTTAGTGCAGGTGGAACTGAGGTACTGCATTAAATAACATCTATGTAACTCACCTTTGAAGTAGACGTAGTTAACAATTACCATTAGAGCATTTGGATCAAGTTTTTTAAGTATTTGGTTTATAATCCCATGGGTTTTGTTCTTTATATGATCATTGATCTCTTTATTAGCTTTAATAGAATTCTAGAAGTTACTAGAAACAACTTTTCTTTTGTAGAATCCTTTTAATGTCCTTCAGAAATGTTTTCAGTGGCTTCAGGTGTTTGTCCATAAATAGGGCATTCCCCATGCTCAGCTGCATCTGGTGGTCAAGGTGGTTCAGCAAGAGGAGGAGATGATGAAAGCCTTCATGTATCCCCTTCTCCTCTTGGGTGTTGGTGAGGTTAAAGGTCAGGCCTTCCAGCACCTGAGTCTGGCTAGTAGCTCTGGAGCCCAGGGCCAGCAGGGCAAACGCAGTGGAGAAGCTGACTGGGGAAAATAGAATGTTCTTGCCAGGTTCTTGGGTGGTTGCTTATCTGTAAAGCTGGAAGGCAAAGTTTGTGTTGCTGGGGACTATCTGTTGGCAGGACTCAAGAGGATTTCCCTTGTGAGGATGCTGCTCCTGGAGGTGAGTTGCCTTGAGCTTGTCATTGTGGTGGTCAGGCTGAGGACAGCAAGGTTAAGCATGTCTACTAACAAGCACAGAGGTGGGGTGGCCTTCATCATCCTTTGCAGCTACTGTGTGGACAAAGAATGAAAAGGTCTTGGATGCTGGAGGTCATCTGTGTCAACATCTTATCTTTTATTTCTATCTACTACTGCCTTCAACAACTATCTGGTAATCACTGTTATCTTCTGACCTGCTCCTTCACCATGGGAGTATTTTTCAAATCACAGAATGTTGGGGATTGGAAGGGA